TAATGGAATAATATTGGATTTACATGTTTCAATTATTGTATTTAATTGTTTTGTAACACTGACATATGCAAATAAACCTTATTTTTTTTATTTTTACGTAGTTCACTTTCTTAATTGAAGTTCTTAACATTTATAGAGACAAATGTAAATCCTAGCATACTTGGAGAGTTGGAGATTTTATTTTTCATGTATCCCATTTCACTAAGCATTTCAGAAAGGAGGAAAATCAAGTTATACCATCACAACTAAACATGATGGATTATATACTACTCCTCTAAGTAACAACACCAAATAAAGTATTAAGACAAAATGATAAAGGCACTGGAATGGATTTATCTATTTCTCCTGTATCTTAAAACTTTAAAAGAACTGTTAACATTCTCAATTTTTTTCTTTATTATGCATCACCTGCGAATGCGTATATCTCAAAAAGTTTACTTTCTTCCAATTCTCATACTATTGCACATCTACTTAACACATCAACCACAAAATGCCAAACAATTCCAGAGATTAAATGATAATCCAGCGTGTTATAAAATTTTTGGTTCTATATGTAGTTTCATTTTCCTTATCATTGCAGAGAATTTTTGGTTTCTAAAGCAGCGTGTTTATCCTTTTTAACATACTTAGCACGTAGTATGTTTTTTGTTTTTAGATTGTCAAACAGAGTAAATTGTCTACAGACTATATTTTGTTTTTAACTGCATTTCTTTTGAAATCTAAACAATCAACATGGAGTTACAAATAAATGATAACAACTCAAATGTCCTTCTTATCATTTTTTTTTAATTCCAAGACTAATTCATGGCTGCGTTTAGGTAGAGTGATCAGCGTTCCTAAAAAAAGCAAGTCAAAGAAACAGAAACAAAAGGCATTATACTATTGGGTAGAGTAACGAACTGCTCAAGAGCGAAACTAAGAAAATGCATTGATTTTTTTTATGGAAAAGTGATGGATATGTAGACTTCTCCATGTCTCATACGGAGTGCTATTTATTACACAGCTAATTAAAAATAGTAATACTCATACAGACTTGTACACTTTAGTTATAATTTAGAAATAGCTCACTATGCACATTTAAAGTAATATAGGATCACTTTAAATGTGTTTAAGAATGTTAAAAAGAAAGCATGAGAATGACTTATACATTAATTATCTAGTATCCATAACACACTCTTATAAACTTGAGAAAGGCTCTTATAGCCTTATGGGTTCCTAAGAAAGGTTCTTATATATAGCCTTATAAACTTCAGACATGTTCTTATAAAAAGCAGGAAAACAGAATCTACGTTCATTTCTACAAAAACAAAACATACTCTGTCATTTCCATGAGGAGTGAATCTATTCTGCTATGTATATTGACTAAACTGTTCAAACGAAATAGGCATTAAATGCAATTTTTATTCTCTTGCAAAGCTGGGTTGAACACTAAGTTTTGAGTTTTTGACTAAAGAACCCCCCAAAAATGAATTAGTTAATTTGTTAAATTCATGTCAAGTAAAAATAGCTGATTAACTAAACAAAATAGGCAGAATGGAGATTTTAAATGTGCTTCTTTGATATCTTCTGTTTACTTAGGGTAAGATTCATGAGAACATAAGTGCTAGTAAACAAAGTTGGATTAATTTGTTCTAAATCACTTTCAATAGTCTTTTACAAAAAAATTAATGGGCAGCAGAGAGTGCAAAAAAAAGATAAGTATGAGAATGACTGCTATAAACTTCTCCCAGCAACACAAATTAAGAATGCTGATTATGATGTTAAAGAAGAATCTGAATGGATGCCGAAAACCGTTTTAAAAATATACAATATACATACTGATTCTATTTGTTGGTCCCTTGCTTATATTTTCCCTACTTTCCTATTCTTCTTCATTTGTATGTAAGAAGAGTTGAAAATAGCTTTTACTAAAGCAGTAAAGTAAAGAAGTAGTTCAAACAAAATTGGCAGTTCTTAAACATTAACTAAAGAATCAGTTAATGAAAACCCTTTTAAGCAAAGCAATATCTTATATTTCAATTCCCTTTGATCTTAAAATCAGTTTCTTCTTATACATGCATCAACATGAACATGTCTTAGATATGGTCTTTAAGTAGTCCTCTAAGAAAGATAACGGCTTTAAAAATTGCACTCCACCTACTGATTGGCTAATATAGATTTGACTGGGATTCAATACATGTAGCATAATAGATTCACTTATATATATTGAAACAAATATTAGTGAACTAAATAGGCAGTTAAATCTTGAAACAAACCCTCGCAAAAAAAATCTTGAAACAAACAATCAGTTCAAACAAAATAGACAGTAGCCACACAAATTATTGATTATATTCCCTCAGACAGAAAAATTAGTGACGTAGAGATGTTCCTTTAGATCACTTATGTAAACATTTAATCAAACAACATATGTGCACAATATAATGAATCCAAGGATTTGTGCTTGCAAAGTTGGATTGATATGGTTGAAAACTACACCCAGACAGAAATAAACATAAAAGTTAAAGCAAAGGCAATAATATTGTTTTGAAAAATCTGGCTTTGGATTATATGAGATCAAACCATCGTGTATTCAAAGAGTACAACTCTTTTATCACATTTTCCTGATCAATGTCATAAAGAACATATTAGATTATCTCAGCCAGAAAAATTAGTGACATACATATGTTCAATTAGATTAGAAAGCCGAGGAAGAGAGAAATGAAGAATTACAGGGTAGTACCTTTGCTACTCGGGCATGACAGTATGAAGCCTAATGTCGATATAGTGATGGCATCATTTGGAGGTCGATATAATGTCGATATAGGTCGCTTGGAAGATGAGAGAAGTAAGGGTGAAATTTGATAATGCGGAGAAGCTAAACATGGAAAGAGGGGAAGCGTTTTTTGTTGTTGAAAACAGCGTTAAAATTGCTGAGCTAGATGAGTGCGCAAAGATGGTAACAGATGGAGCGTTGTTTTGGTGGTGAAGCAGTGTGCTTCAAAAGCGGTGAGCAACACGCTTAACAATTAGCAAGCCACGTGGCATTGAGATGTGAAAGGAGAAAAAATTGGGAAGGAGAACACGTATGATTTGAGAGGGATAATAATGTCTTTTAATGAGCTATTTCTTTTCTTATATATAAATAGACTTGTAATGGACACATGAAAACTCATATCTACCCTAATTCATCATTTTAAATTAGTACTCTGTACGTGTTTGCAATATAAAAAAGAAATACGTACCTCCTGGTAAATTCAATAAAGAGAATTCCCATGTGTAGAAAAGTGTGAAGACAACTTGCAATATGTTTGCAAAGCCATATGTATGAGGCATAGTCTGACCGCTGAGTATGACGGCTGCTAGGTTTTATGAGGCTGAAATGTACGTAATTGATGTTCAATTAAGTTCCATTTGTTTACTATTATGGTTCTAACTCTATTTTTTTGTAACAATGGCTCCAACTCTATTTAATTAAAGGGTTAGCTCATTTTTATTTACTACTACTTTTAATATTACAGCATCCTCGCTTTTTATTTGATTCTTTTTTTTTTGTTAGAATTCTACGTATTGGGAGTCTGGGACGGTGCAATTTTTACGTTTTTAAAATTGTACGTTCAATTCTTAAATTTGATTCTTTATGTTTTTTAAGTTGTACGTTTAATATGTTGTTTACAACATCGACATGTTCATAAAAATGTTATGTTTGTCTATTATTTAACCCCGTCCTTCAAAATTTTGTTAAGTTTGATCGACATAAAGAGTAATAGCGTAAAAACATTTGTTTAAGATTTGTGTTGTGTAAAGGAAAGAGAAATGATAGAAATTAGAAATTGATTGATTAAAGGAGAAAATAATTTAAATGTATGAAACTTTGAAGGGGTGTGTGTTAATTATCACAAATTGATTGATCATACAATTTTCAGAAACATAATTTTATTGTACCAAGTACATAGTTAAATCACACCAATTATTTTTGAGAATGTAATTAAAATTAAATTGTATCGAAGGTAATATTAGTTATTTCATTGATGACATTTTGAAATTTGAAATGCATTCTAACAAACATTGATCAAATCAGACCAGACCAGATCAGTTCATTCCAGACCAGACCAATTCAAAACCAATTAGATCAAAGCAAATTTTTTCAAGTAAAAAACTTTAAGGGACGGAGGGAATATGTTATTTGTAGATGCTATTGTCATTTTGATGTTTAATTTGTCTTTTTTCAGTCAGATTTTACCATTACTAAATATTTGTTTTCTGAGATTTGACCTTTTATCCTAATATGGAGTATTAAGAATTTTGAAGTGCTCTTTTTAGTAGCTACTCATTTTTCTGTCCCTTTGATAATTTTGAATTTTGTAAGGATTGTAAGATCGTAAAGACCTCCAGTGGTTTATAATAAGCGAAAGAAGAAAGCTTCAAATAATACCAAAAATAATACTCCCTTCGTCCTCTTTTAAATGTGCCAGAAGAGAGTGACACAAGTTTTAAGAAAAATGAGTTTGTGTGGTTGATATTAATTGATAAAGTAAGAAAAATGTAAGAAGAAGTAAGCTTCAAATAATACCAAAAGTAATACTCCCTTCGTCCCCTTTTAAATAAGATATAAGACAATTAAAGAGAGACATCTCAATATGGTAAAATCGGAATGTAAAATGGGAATGTAAATGGGGGTCGAGGGAGTAGAGCATAATATTCAACAACGTAACGGTTCAATATATGTCAACATTTGGGCCATTTTTAGATCGTAATTTGTAAACATGATGTAGAACGAAGATGTAATTAAATCACATAGGAAAATAATTAGTGCTAGATTGTGGATCCATATATTTTTTTTTTATATATAAGGCTCTTTCTCCCAGAGTCCAAGTGGATGGAATAAATTCCAACATTAATCTTAGTTATAAACGGCATAGATTTTTTAACATCAGAATTTATACCATCTATTTTTAAATTCAAAGAAGTTGCCCATTTTACTCACTTTTGGTAATGCATATAGATTGATCTAAAGTTTCATTTGCTCATCTTAAGATGTGTGCAGGGATGCTAAGCACAAAAATAAACTAAATATGAATCTTGATTCTGAGTTATCAAAAACCAAGGTATAAGTAAAAGTATAATAAATCAATATAAAAAATATTGTGACTTCATAATTTATTGTCAACCAACTCTAAAAGAAAGACTTAATTTAAGAAGAAAGCAATAGGTAATGTCGTAATGTTCTCATCCCCATCCGGTGAACTTATTTTTTACTCCTTTTTTATACGCTTTTGAATCTTTGTTGCTGAAAATTGTGTAGCTTTATCATGTGGATGGAGGTCATCAAACTGCTTCTCCGTTGATCTTTTGCAAGGTGTAACAGAAGGTGATGAGTCATTAGGGTCATAATTGGCTGTAGCGGACACAGATTGCTGCACAAATATGTCAACAACAACTAAGCATAAGTCATATGTTACCAAATATATCAAGCAACATGTTTTATGATTTGAGAACTACGTGTTTTCCAAACATAGTTTTTCTTTGAGATTTGAAGACATTGTGGTTTAAAAGTCGAAACTTTGTTGAGTGTTTGGTTTGTTGTTTGATAAAGCTCTTCGGGGCCTGCAATTACGTTTGGTTTGTTGTTTGATAAAGCTCTTTTTAGACAACAGTTAAAACAACATTTTTAATTGAAAGTGACCAGAAGATTTGTTGTTTGGAGCCAAAAAAACTCTTCGGGGCCTGCAATTATAGCCAGGATTGAGGGAAAATAACACGTAAGGCCTTTTGAAAAGTGGGTAAAAAGCATATGATCACAACTGCATAGGTAAGCACGGGAGTTTAAAATAACTATGAATAATAATTGTTGTAGTGATACTCACACTTTCACACTGAACATGGTCTTCAAGAACAGGCTCTCCATTAGCGTGATTGGTCTTTTCCTAATTAAATAAAATGGTTGAATATATTTAACTTACATTTATTGCAAAGTGTGATTAAATGAAGTTATAAAAGTGGAATAATTTATTTACGAAATAAATATCTTACATAGTGTTGTAAATTTAAAATGACATTTTAATTATCATATACCTCATACATATGAAGTTGCTCAGTTATGAACTTTATGATCCCTACATCCTCAGACACCTTAAGTACTGATGCAGCATTGTAAGTTGGTTGCATCTTCAATCTAAATGCCATAGTTCTTCCCAGTAATTCATCTAGTGCTTCCGGATAAGCCAATGGATCATCTTCTCCCTCCTTAATAAGTGAAATGGTAAATAAATAAAAACAAATTATGGTGTTATGGTAAAAATATTTCAAATTTACGTGGGCTGAGCTAATAATAGTTTCATACTTCAAGCAATTCATTTTTAAGCTCGCTAGCTGTCCTCCCAATGATTTGGACACACTCTTGATCCCATAGCACACACCTAGTGGAGTCTTTATTATTATACACCATGACTTCTAATCTATACCTATTTTTACAAATATAAGACATTAGTACTGTTTTCTCATAATATATAATATCTTTTGGCACAAAAGTTAGCAGAAAATAAATTAACCTTAGAGTAGTCTTCTCATTACATTTTCCACATTTACATGTGAAGGAATTAATGTGTGGTTCGGCCTTTTTAGTGCACGCAGAGCAAGCTTCATAGCTCCAGCCACTTTTACCAACTACAAACTTTGCAATTGTGCCAATTGTGACACACGTTGTTTCCTATATAATATTATGAGATGGTTAGTATATTATGAGATAACAACTTATAAGATAACTAATTCATAAAAGAGGATCTAAAATGACCAAAAAAGTAAGTGTGATATATTTGGGCATTAAAAAAATTAAGTGGAAGAGTAGATTTCAAATAAATACATTTAGAAAATCCTCTTAAAAGTAATAATTCTAGAAAATAACAGTGTTTCAAATAGAGTAGAATGTTATATTATTAGTGTATTAATATGTTTAAAATAATTGAGATTCATTTAAACCTCTGTAAGGCCATTGATATCAGAAAGACTCATAACACTGGCTTTATAGGTTAGCTTGTCTTGCTCAGTAAATTTTGAATTTGAGAGTTGACTCTGACTCTGACTGGGTCCTTCGTTTGCTTGAACTGAGCAATAGCTGCGATTATTCCAAACATGGATTAAATATTTGACAATGAAAATATAAAAAATGAAGCACATGTACTAAAAAATTATAAGTCTGATAACACCGATAAGCACAATGAACCTGTCTTTGAATTTCTGGATATCCACAATGTCCTCATTAATGAGCAATTTAGATCCGAACTTACTATTTTGAATGAACATGGGATTTTTTCCTAACAGTACATGTCAAGAAATTAAATAAATCATAACATCATTAATATAATAATATAATATGGTATGGTATGGTATGGTATGGTATGGTATGGTATGGTATGGTATGGTATGGTATGGTATGGTATGGTATGGTATGGTATGGTATGGTATGGTATGGTATGGTATGGTATGGTATGGTATGGTATGGTATGGTATGGTATGGTATGGTATGGTATGGTATGGTATGGTATGGTATGGTATGGTATGGTATGGTATGGTATGGTATGGTATGGTATGGTATGGTATGGTATGGTATGGTATGGTATGGTATGGTATGGTATGGTATGGTATGGTATGGTATGGTATGGTATGGTATGGTATGGTATGGTATGGTATGGTATGATATGATATGATATGATATGATATGATATGATATGATATGATATGATATGATATGATATGATATGATATGATATGATATGATATGATATGATATGATATGATATGATATGATATGATATGATATGATATGATATGATATGATATGATATGATATGATATGATATGATATGATATGATATGATATGATATGATATGATATGATATGATATGATATGATATGATATGATATGATATGATATGATATGATATGATATGATATGATATGATATGATATGATATGATATGATATGATATGATATGATATAATATAATATAATATAATATAATATAATATAATATAATATAATATAATATAATATAATATAATATAATATAATATAATATAATATAATATAATATAATATAATATAATATAATATAATATAATATAATATAATATAATATAATATAATATAATATAATATAATATAATATAATATAATATAATATAATATAATATAACATAACATAATATAACATAACATAATATAATATAATATAATACACTATAATATAATATAATATAATATAATACAATACAATATAATATAATAATTCGAGTTTACCTTCGGGTTCTTTGATTTTTGCCTGTGTCAATATGACAACAATTAGCTCAGATTTATGATTCTCATGAAACTCCAAGAACTTCGAAGCATAGTCTTGCCATAAAGTGCACATGATCATATCACCACTACATTATACCATAATACATCTAATTAATTAATGAAGAAATATTTTCAAGTTCTAAAGATTATTATTGCAGTAGGGAAAATAACAACAGTGGATGACATCACCTGAGATCTTTCATCCAAAATGATGCTTTTTTCAACGGAGCACTATTGTCAGAACGCACAATATCATGGAAAGCTCCAATCACATCTATTTGTTCAAAAAAGTCAAGTGTTATAGTTAGATGGTTATGTTTACTTATTTATTATGCAGTAAAAAAAAATAGACGTGTAATTTGACATAAACACTTACCAATCAAAACATCAGTACGGAGATTACCACTTAATATCTCACTGAAGTTTTTAAAGCTATAGTAATCTTTGGGTATATCAGCTAGTTCTTGATGTTTGCATGTTGTGCCACTTGTGATCTGGAGCTTGAATGGATGATCACATGCCTTGAACTCTCCTTCATTGCACAGTACTTTGAAGTTTTGCATCACATATGTTTCATTTTCTTTGACCTTCGGCTTCCAGGTTAGCACCTCTGCATTTCTTGCTACCGCCTGTATCTTATATCTCTAATTTATGAGAAGTGTTAAGAAGTTACTAATGACATTTAAATGTTAGAGCAATTTATCTCATTTAAGCATTTTAAAAAAGATAATCAGACCTTTGCGTCCATTAGAATCATTTCAATGAACTTTGAGGGAGTCTGGACAGAACAAAGTGAGATGACTCTGACTGCAATCTTCCATGTCTCTTTGCTGTCATTGATCTCTTCAATTGCATTTATTTTACGTGCCATATTGATGGGACTAATGAACATGTATAACAAAACGGAATAGGTTAAACACAAAGAATCATATTAGGCCAAACATATTGACTATAAGTAGTTCTCTATTTAGAAATATGATACTCCCTCCGTCCCATTGACTTAGCCAAACTTGATTTCTCATAGTTCAATAAAAAGAATTCCTCTGGTTTTAAAAACAGTGCTGGAAATTTTAAAAGTGTAACTTTACACCAATAGTCTTTGGTTTAAGATTCTTGAGCACAAAAGTCATTACTAAAAGAAAAGGACAATAAGAAAGGTGCCAAAGGAGCATATATTAGAGGAATATAAATGTGAAAAGTATAAGCTTCTAAGAAGACATGAGCTGGATGGTATTTACAAAGATCCACGACTCCACATATGCCTAGAGTAATTGATTTCTCAAACTTCTATTTACTACCTAAGAGAACAATAGGCTAAAAAAGAAAGACTATATTAGGACATGTAATGCCTCTTAAAAGAGAATTTCACGGCGGCCACATTAGCAGTAAGAAAACTCATGAATCAAGCAAGTGATATCACCTCTATGTTGTAAAAAAGAATTCAAAACAGGAAAGATAGCAACTGAGGTAGCAACTGTAATTACATCACTAACAGGGACACAATCAACATTAGCAGGGGCACAAGGGATTAAAAGAGCAGCAAGAACATTAGGGACACCAGTAGTCTCATGTTCAGGGGCACTCACTGTTCCTCCAGCTGTAACAGAGGCATCCTGGGGTCCCATTACAGCAAAGTAAGGGGCATCATCAACATTTTCAGTACTGTTTTGGCATCATCATCAATAGCAACACTTACAGAAGCACGTACATCAATAACAGAATGATCAGCGGCAGTAGGAACGTCAAGAACATCATGAAATGATGCATATCATACTCAGACGCTCACATGTTACAATTAATAATAATAACAATACTTAAATTGAGAGCGTAAAAGTAAAAACTCACTTAAACGTTTCATGGAACACCTTATATGCTGAAAAGTAAAAGTCAAAACTTTGTTTAATGCTACTAACAAAAAGAAACAGACTTTAAAAAACAGATTAAAAAAGGCCAAAAGATAATACGGAACAAAAAACAAAGCACAATCAAAAAAGTTTGTAGCAACATGTGGTTTGAAAAAAATCTTTGGAGTTAGGGAAGGTCTAAAAGATGCAGGGGTGACAACAAAATAAAAAATAAAAAAAAATGCTTCATTTGCAAGCACCATTCACAGAGAATCGAAAAATACAGACTGGAAGAAATAGAGGGTACCTCTGCTACTTGGGCACGGAAGGATTTGTGTTCGCAAACCTGGGTTGATGTGGATGAAATCTACACCGACACACATGTAAAAATGGGTTTGGACAAAATAAGCATTTTAGAATTACATAGAATCGAGAAATATAGAAGACGAAGAATTACAAAATACCTCGTCTACTCGTGCGGCGAGAGTATGAACCCTAATGTCGATCTTCATCAGTATATATAGTGACGATATTATTTGGAGTCTCCTAGATTCGGTGAGGAGCTGTGTGCGCTAATCTCGCTACTGAAGAATTCTAAATTGGGGGAAATTGGCAGATTAACAATTGTATGAAGCTATAGCCAGGGAGAGAGGTGAGAAAAGTTCGGCGAGAAATCGGTGAGGCCGCGGAGAAGATGGAAACGGCTGTTTAATTTAGTTTGTTCTTACGCTGAGGTGAGGGGAGAAAAAGAAGAAGCTGTAAGCGTTTTTTTATTTTTAAAAGGGGTGTGGAAAAATAAAAGAAGCGTAGAGTTAGCCACGTGGCATTTGAATAGCGAAGGAGAAAAACGTGGGCTGAGCTACACGTAGGATTAATGAAGGGTAGACATGTAATTTTATGAGCTATCTCTTTTCATATATATAAATAGAAGCTGAGTTATAAAATGCACATGTGTCATTCATTGATTGGATAACAAATATAATTATAACATTAAATTAATAACAACAGCCGATTAGGAGAAAAAATAGTAAACTCAATTGGACTAGGTCTCTTCTATATGCTTATACTACGTAGTAATTAATAATTCAAAGTTTATGATAAATCTTATCCAAAGCTGAATGTAACACTTCCATCTATAAATAGTATACGATGATTAAAAATAATAATCTATAAATAGTATACTTTGCAGCTCTTTGATATAAACTCATTATTTATACTATACGTATTACTTTTGAAAATCAACCAAACATTTATAAACTCTATATATGTAAATGATGAAACATATAAATTAATATAGAACATGAACAAATTACAAATTAAATCTAAATGTGCATAACCTTAATACAAACATAGAATTACAATACGTTTGATTAATTGGTGCGAACATCCTAAGGTTAAAGTTTATTTTTAATTTAACTATTAATTAAAATGGATAAATTTAAGCATTTAGGATGTTTACTTGGACTGAAATTTTCTGGTCCGGTCTGGTCAGAACTGGTCTGAACTGATCTGGTAAATGACTGATTTCTTTGTATTTTATATTCGTCCAAGTCTGATCTGGTCTGGTCTGATCTGATCTGGTTTGGTCTGAGAGTGAAAACAGTCCAAAAACAGTAAAAACATCATTAATATTCAAACTTTTAATTTACTTGGATTTGATTCATATAAAAAAGATCCATATCGTATTCATAATTTAATTATTATTTCCCAAAATAAAAACAAAATAGACTACCCCTAAAGATTTTTATGAAACTTGCTATTTCTTAATTAAGTTGAGCAATTAACACCTTGGAAGAAGAGTGAAAGATAATTTTTCTTTCATATGACACCAATATTGCATATTTATAAATAAAAAGTAATTTTCATATATTTATAACTAAATTATAAATCAATGATGTATTAGTCGGTAGATAAAAATATATAGTATAAATTTTATATTAATAAAAATTCTATTATCACTACTGCTAAAACATTTAATTAATCCAAGTTCACTCGGTGCATCACTCCTATTCACTTGGTGCATCACTACTACTAAGAGCCTATTTGGTAACACTGAAATTGACTCAGTCGGTTGATTCTACTGATATTTATTAAGTTTTGGCTGAAGTGGTTGACCGGTTGGATTGGTTAATTGATTCTTCTGAGTCATGAAAAAATTATATTTAAAATATATATTTATTAATAAAATAAAAAGTAAAATTATATAAAAAAAATAGCTAAAATAGTCCTTTAGAATAACTTCAGAAAAGTAGTTCCAACTTTACTTATTTTAATTATTACACAAGTCAACGTGCAAATTCAAAACTTACGTGCTCGATGAAAAAGTTTGCTGGTAAGATGGATAAGCCAGAAGCAAGATCACCAAACAAACTCTAAAACATCTATTGTTTTATAAAAAGTTTTAGCCGAGTTTGAATTGGATTGATTAACTAGGTAATATTAAACTAGATTAATTCAGAGTTAAACAAATCAGACCAGATCGGACAAAATTTCAACTTTTTAAAACTACAAATAGACTAAATCTATAATAATCATAGATAATTAATAATACTCAACACTTTTGATTATATCTCATAAATTAATTAGTTCACAATGTTTATTGATACTTCTCATCTGAACTTATATCAAATTAACACTACCGGGGCATGCCCCGGGTTCCACACTAGTATTTAATGTAAAATACCGAATGATGCAATTAGAATTGTACTGGAACTCAATTCACGTGAATGAAATTTAAATAACATCCAAGTCTGTACAACACAAACTTAAATTAAACCTGTCAAAAAAACAAACTTTAATTAAAACGCAGCAAGAGAAAAAATTGGATGAAACTTTAATTAAAACTTTAATTACAACACAAACTTTAATTAGAATTGGAATGTAAAACGCAGCAAGAGAAAAATTAGGATGAAATGCGTATTAATAAGTGGACAAAAAGTTGGAGAAAAAATTGGAGAAAAATTTGTATAATATCAATCAAATAGGTATTCTTTAAATACTTATTCAATTCTTTAAATACATTTTTAAACATTCACCTAAAATACATAATAGGTGTACGTATTTCTTAATTACCCCTAATATGACTCTAACGATGTTTTTACCTGGATTGATGCAGATCAGACCAAACTTAAACAAACCAGATCAGATCAAACCAAACTTAAACATACAATATCAGACCAGACTTAAACAGATCAGACCAGACTTGACTTCCATAGTTATAAAATACACAGAGACCAGACGTTTATCAGACCAGATCAGTTCAGACTAGATCAAACTTAAATAAACCAGATTAGACCAAATCAACAAATTACAGTCAAGTAAAAATATCATAATACACATGACACATGAACAAATATAGCTGCTGCTGCTGATGATGATACTACTAATAATAATAATTACTAAAATGGTGATGATGATAATTGTATTATTATTATTACACGCACGTTTTTGTCAATAATGATTAATAAAAAATTAAAATATATTATTTTACACCGTAAAACTGAATTATAAATCAATGTATCATCAGTGATTTGTTACTAAAAATTCGATTATCACACTTACTAAAACATATAATTAACTCTCCCAATGCAAGTTGACACGGTCCATGAGATGATGAGACCATGACTAGCTATTCACCTTAAAGTCAACTCATTTGGAGAATAGGGAGGATAAAAGTCTCTAATTTTTAAAGTGTTATAACTTTTTATTTGTACTTCAATTTTATAAAACATATATCAAAATTCGTAACTTCTTATGATCTTTCATTTGACACCAATATTACATACGTAAAAATAAAAAATAAAAAAAAATCTAAAGATCTAATTGATGAAGATTATAAAGCCTAAAACTTTTTTGTCAATAAAGCCCAAAACTTTTTATAAGTACATTCAAATCTTAACATAAATATTTCATAATTAGTTTTTACATTTTTGAGATATTTTTTCAAATAAAATAAAATAAAATCTAAAACATTGGTGTTAGGGAAAATTCCCGTAATAAGAGTAAAAAGTTTTAAAATTTTAAAATAGGACTACCATATTTTTTCCGCCAAAATACGAGTAATTACTGCCAATATTGAAAAATATTGTCATGTTTAGAGCTCGGTACTGCCAAAATATGACAGTAATTAGTCCTTTTTGTAGAATAAAAACATGATAGTCCTATTTTGAAATATATAAACATTTTTAGTCCTATATTTATTTAGAGTGTAATTTGCCTAAATGTTGACATTGCTTTAAATACGATGCAAATGCTCATATAATATAAAAAGTAATTCATATTGTAAATTATATTTCATACAATAATTATTATATATCACATTTAGTTTAAACCGGGAGTAAAACATTATGATATGAAAGCATGCATGATAACAATATGCATATTACATGAACACAATCAAAATCTTCATAGTAAAAATTTCATAAATAACACTTTTATTATTCTTCAATTATGCACAACTACAAGAGTATCAATAATATACTCCCATCGTCCCAATGACACGTGGCCGCAACGGGAATAGGTCGGGATCACGATACATGTTGCGGCTGCAATGTTATTGTGGTTTCCTTCTGTAGCGCAATCGCATCAGACCGCAATGGACGTGGGGTTTCAATTCACGGGGAAAATCTACTACATAACCCAACGAAACTGTAATGTCGTTTGGGCCATATAGGATTGTATCAAGACATCAACACTAATGTCGTTCAACAATAAAATTAAATAACAACGCTCGGTCGCAATACACATTAAAACGGCCGCAATAGCCACAATCCCAATGCTACCGCAATTCAATGAAAAACCATGATATAGACTAAAGAGTAAATATATAATATAGGGAAAACTATCAAATAAGCCCCCGTACTATATTGAAAAAGTCGATTAGGCCCTCGTACTTTACAAACACTCAATTAAGTCCTCGAACTATTAAAAAACGTTCAATTAAGCCCTTTCGGTCGGTAAGTAACCGGTTTCCCGGTTAAATGTAACCCGTTTCCCGGCAGCCGCCGTGGTTGGGGTTCGAGCACATCGTCGCCGTCGCCGTCGCCGCCGTTTAACCGGGAAACCGGTTACTTACAGACCAAAAGGGCTTAATTGAACGTTTTTTAATAGTTCGAGGACTTAATTGAGTGTTTGTAAAGTATGAGGGCCTAATCGACTTTTTCGGTATAGTACGAGGACTTATTTGATAGTTTTCCCTATAATATATGATGATGGATAAATTAATATATAGTCATTAAATAAATAAAAATTTATTATAGTTTGTGGTTAGATCATAGTAAATATGCATTCATGCAGTATTAAAATTTGTATCCTTCACAATATCTATTACGTGATACGTAGTACTATTTTTCATTTTAACTCATACCAAATTTATAATAAAAATTTAATATAGTTTGTGGTTAGATCATAGTAAATATGCATTCATGCAGTATTAAAATTTGTATCCTTCACAATATCTATTACGTGATACGTAGTACTATTTTTCATTTTAACTCATACCAAATTGAGTTGCCGCTACCGGGGCATTGCCCCGGGGTTTACACTAGTTATAATACCGTTATCAAGTCATAATGTCATCACTATGCTAAATTATAAACATCAAGTCAAATTGTTATTGTCAAACAATAATGTCATCCCCACAACAAAACAAATGCCTTCACAATAGATATGTTGCATTGGTCTACTTATAATACTAGTAAAAATGTTGTCTCAACTAGTTAAAAAATGTCATCTTGATTGTCAATGTACATTTGAACAAGAGAATTGAAAA